TGTTGAAGTTATATAGTATGGATAAATGCAAAACTAAAGCAGTACCCTTAGAAGCAGGCTATCAAACCATGTGCGATGATGATTGCAATAAGGCAGACGCTAAGCAATATCAATCGTTGATAGGTGCGCTTATGCACTTAGGTTTAACAACAAGGCCTGACATACTACACTCTGTCTCAAAATTATCACAGAGAAACAAAAATCCACACATTGAACATATGACCGCTGCTAAACATATATTGAGATATTTGAAAGCAACTTTAGATTTTAAACTTTTATATCGTGCAGGTGGCAGCTGTATCGAAGGCTTCGTCGATGCGGATTGGGGAAGTGATCCTCATGACCGCAAATCTTATACAGGTTTCGTGTTCTTTTACGGAAAATGCGCCATATCGTGGGAGTCAAGGAAGCAAACAACAATAGCCTTAAGCAGCACAGAAGCCGAATATATAGCGGCATCGAACGCGGCTAAAGAAGCAGTTTATTTGCAGCGCCTGCTGAATGAAATAGGCTTCTCGAAAGATCAACCAATTATTTTACACATCGACAACCAAGGCGCTCAAAAGCTAGCGACTAATCCTGTATACCACAACCGAACAAAGCATATCGATGTGCGTTATCACCATATACGAGAGTTGGTTAACGACAAAATGATTACTTTATCATATTGTCCGACGGATGAAATGACAGCTGACATATTCACAAAGAATCTCCCGGGAATCAAGCATAAGAAATTTACAACCAACATGAATATCTTGTGAGTTCAACAGAGGAAGCATTCACGTTGAGGAGGAGTGTTGCAATCTGGCAATATTGCATCAACGTTCATTCTTTTTTTATCTGTCATTCTTTAAATACATACATACACTTTTACTCTTTGTACACATTTTACTTACTTCTGAATAAACCACCAAGCTGAACGGAATAGAAAAGGCGTGCGTTTTATTAGGTTATGGGACCAGAAGTTTCCATGCGATTTTGAAGTCATCAAGTATCATAAAAGTAATCCAGAATGGCTACTTCATCACTATATGCCATAGAAAAACTCGATGTGTCGAATTATGAGACGTGGACAGTGCAAATGCGAAGTGTACTTATCCACGGTGGCCTTTGGAAAGTAGTGACCGAAGTTAAGCCTACAAATGCGGATGAGCTGGCGTTGTGGACAGTAAGTGACGAAAAGGCGTTAGCTACTATCATACTCAGCGTAAAATCGAACCAACTAAGCTATATTAAAACTGCAAGTCGTCGGCAGAAGCTTGGCTGAAATTAAAAGAGGTGTACAAGCCGCAAGGGCCGATACAAAAGGTGTCTTTATACAAGCAACTCTTAAGCAAGCGTATGCAGGATGAAGAAAATCCACAAGAATTCATCAACGCATTTACTGAGATCGCAGACAAACTCTCGGAGACTGGAATAAATATCCAGGATGATTTGCTAAGTATAATCCTTTTATCTAGCTTACCCAAATCATTTGATAACTTTGTCATAGCTATGGAAACCCGAGATAGTTTACCTTGTTTCAGCGCATTAAAGATAAAGCTTATAGAGGAGGGCGAGCGGCGCAAGCGGCAGAACGAACCGGCAGAGGTTAGTACACAGCAAGCATTTATAGCGGCCGAAAAAACTTACAAGAAACCGCAGTTTGAGCAACACGACAAGAAGACGCAAAATAAATCTAAATTCAAATGCTTTGCATGTGGAAAAAGAGGGCATTTCGCGAACAAATGCAAAGAAAAAGAAAAACGCAATTCCAGAGAAACTGCAATGAATGTCATTGCAATGACAAACATGCAGAGCAAATTCGACGACACCTGTTGGTACATGGACAGCGGTGCAACATCGCACATGTGTAATAAGAGATCGATGTTCGTACAGTATGAAGAATGTCATGAAAAAATTTGGCTAGCATCAAATACAGCAATTACAGCATTAGGCAGAGGCGATGTATTATTAAAAACAAAACAACGAACACTTCGCTTGGAGAATGTGTTGTACTCGCCTGAGTTGAAGGCAAACTTCATTTCTATCAGTAAAGCAGTAGAACATGGTATGTCGATAAAATTCGAAAGCGGGCATGCGCATATAACCGACAAGTACGGTGAGCTTGTTCTAACAGCGGCGAAAAGGCACAACTTGTATGTGGTGGAATTGAAGGAAGAGAGATTGTGCGCATTGAACAGCAACCAAATTTGGCACAATCGGTACGGTCATCTCAACTACCAAAGTTTGTCTCAATTGCAAAGAAATGATATGGTTCGTGGTATGCAATTGTCTGGTCGAAGCGATGAAGCACTTGGTTGTAACACTTGTATGGTGAGTAAAATACACACGTTACCTTTCCCAAAGCAATCTGAACGAAGATCTGAGATGTTATTAGAGTTGATCCATTCCGATGTGTGTGGCCCAATAAACATAAAATCCGTGGGTGGTGCTCGTTATTTCTTAACCCTAATTGATGACAAATCAAGATTTATACATGTTTATTTTTTAAAGGCAAAAAGCGAGGTTTTGGATAAATTTAAAATGTTCAAGGCTTATGTAGAGCGTCAGACAGGTTGCAAAATTAAGGCGCTAAGGAGCGATAACGGCAGGGAATACATTAATAACGAATTTGATAAATTTTTGATACAGCATGGTATACACCACGAATTGACAGTGCCTCATACACCCCAACAGAATGGTGTGGCAGAGAGGGCTAATCGTACGCTCGTCGAGATGGCAAGGTGCATGATCATTCATAGCAAAGCTCAGCAAAACTTATGGGCGGAAGCTATATCAACAGCAGCATACTTAAGAAACAGGTGCCCAACAAAATGTTTGAAAAACGAAACACCCTATGAAGTTTGGTTTAATAGAAAACCTGCGGTCAGGCATTTAAAAACGTTTGGTTCAGTCGCAGTAGGGTTAAATAAGACACCACATGGTAAGTTCGATGCTAAAGGCAAACCGTATATTATGGTAGGATACTCTTTAGAGAGCAAAGCATATCGTTTGTACGATAAAGATTCTAACAAAATAGTAATAAAAAGAGATGTGATATTTAATGAGAGCGTTTTGGGGTACAACAACGACTGCGGCGAAAGCGATACAATTGATTTGCTACAATTCTTTGTCGAGGAGGAGAACAAAAACACAAATGTAGGTTCGACAGCTGAAAAAATAGAAACAGAAAGCGATAGCGATAGCTCCGTGTATGACAGTGCTGACGGGGCAAGTTCAGGCGAGTCTGATGTAGAAAATAAAGTTGAAGAGAAAACTCTTAAAGCGGGTAGAGGTAGACCGAAGTTATTACGAACTGGTTTGC